ACATGACAAATTGAAGTGACAGTTGAAGGAATTGCTTCCATCTTTCCCTTTTTTTTTTACACTGAGAAGCAAAAAACTTCCATCTCCTAACTTGGAGCAGCTTCTCGTGAAAAGCTGACACAGTCTGGGGTAAACCTGTTTCTTGGGGGTGTCATCAACCAGCCTGGCATTCTGGGTGGCTTCAGCAGTTTTTCTTCCTCTAAACCGAGCTGGCAGAAAGCTCCGAGGGCGAGCTGTGCTGACGCTGCTCCTGGTCTGGAGATGCTGCTCTGGAAAACAGGCACTTGGGGAGAGATCCCATCTGTGGGAGACGGCGCTGACTCACGGCATCGAGATGTGCTGGGATGTGCTGCTGTCAGGCAGCTGGATTTCGGGAGCTTAGGGAGATGGTGTAAGGGCTGGGAAGCTCAGGGACTGTCCTGCAACTGATGGGTTATTTTTTTCCGTGGTTGAAAACTTGAGCAGTTGGGTGAGTTGCAGTTTGTGGTGAGGCTGTGCTCGATCTGTTTATTATGATTCTATTCCTCACACCCCGCTGATTTGACTCCTTCCTCTTTGGCATTGTTTGCACAGAAATCCCTGTCCTCAGAGTTTCCCTGGTCTGTGCCAGCTGTGGAGCAGCTGGGAAGGGACCCGAAGACACGGAGTGCTCTGATGGATTGGTGTGGAGATGGAGACTGGGTTTAGCTGGAGCTGCGTGGATGGGGCTGCCCTGCCCCATACCCAGCAGCCATGGGGATGTGTGGGCTGCACACAACGAGCCTTTTGTTTGCTCGCCTTAGCAGCCCTCCCTCTGAAAGCTGAGATGTTCTCACTCGTGTTGTTCACTGGTTGTTTCTCAGGAAGCCTCCCTGGTTTGGAGGGCTGATCTCAGGAGGCAGGGGTCCCTCTATCCCTCCACCCCTTTAGGAGGTCTCCTAAAGAAGCCTAAAGCAGCCTGTGGTTATCTCATGTTTCCCCCCAGGCAGCGTGTCCTGCTGACTCTCATCCTGAATTTAAATAAATTGTAGTCCTTGCTAAATATCTGTCAAATATTGACTTAGTCTGTAGGGTGAGCTGAGTAAGCTGAAATTAATGGTGTAATTCCAGCTTGTTTGGCACGGGTGTTTAGGCAGTTTCATTGCAGATGGTAGAGGAAATTAAGAACTTACCTTGACTCCATCTCAAGGGGAGGAAAGAGAAGCCTCGGGCTTATATGGCAGTAGAGAAAGACTTGGTGGAGACATAGGGGGAGTGTTTGCAAAGATATTATTTGAGGGTGATAAAAAAAATCTTCTTAAATAATGAGTGAGGTCATAAGACAAAAATTGAGGAGCTGTTGTTAACTGGGTGCTGTTACAGATGCCATGAAATGATCTCCTCTGCTTTCTGGTCCGTTGCCATACCCCTGGGATAATTTCTCTAAATCTGTTGAAAATGAGATCCAAAAAAAAAAAAAAAAAAAAAAGAGACAATCTGGCTGGTTGAGGTTTTGGCACAGTGTCTGCTGGCTTCGTGTGCTCACCCTCTGCAGAGATAAGGGTGTCTGTTTTGGCATCTCCTTTCCTTGGGCTCGGGAGATGTGGACAACTCCACAACTCCACGTGTTGCTGAGGTGCTGCTGCAGAACGACAAAGCCCTGACGCCTCCAAGCAGGCAAAGAAATGGAGATGCAGGGACGTGTCTGGAGTGATCCAAGTGATCCAAGCGAGCTGGTGGCAGAACTAGAGCTAAAACACAGCTTCTCTTGTGCTTCAGATGCTCCATGTGCAGCCTGGCCTTCAAACTCCTGGGAAACCTGTGAGGTTTTGAGGTTATTTTTTGACAGGTTTGTTGCTGGCATAAGGGAATTTTGGGATTCCAGGCAATAAAGATGCGGCTTCAGGGCCAGTCCTGCCTGACTGCAGGGGATCTCATTGTTGGGAAAGTGAATCTGGTGGAAGTTGATGTAAATGCTGAGCTCAGGAGTTGCTTTGTTTTTTTGTTGGTTTTGTTTTTTTAAAAAACACCTTTTTTTCTCTCCACCTCTCCCCAGTTTTTGCTGCAGGAAGTGAGATCTCCATTGTGGCTTTGGGCTTTGTGGGAGCTTCGTGCCTCCAATTGATCTGTTCCTGGCTGATCCTCAGTGGCCCAGAGAGCAAAATGTAATGCAGCAGATTCATTATAGGCTGAAATATTTATTGTGTTACCATAAAGGTCATTGGTGGCAGTGGAGGATGCAGTCCTGAGTCTGTCACCGCTCTCTTTGGAGAGCAGTGACTCGTAGAGTGCCTGGAATAACTTATCCTTGGCACATGCTTTTGGAGGTGCATTCTTGGATCTTCCATGGGTTAACAAATGACTGTGGTAATGCAGTGGAAAGTGAACAGCTGTGTTTAATTTGCTGGGTGTACTCTCACAGGCAGAGCAGGAAAGGAGCCTTAATTTCACCTTGTACCTTTTTGCCTGATTTAAGTAATTTGCAGAGTTGTACAATAAAATCTCCACAATCTCATTTCTATTCCCATTATAGTAACCTGGAATCGTTATTAAAGCCCAAGGGCATTTTTGCTCCTGCACGTGTGGGTGTGAATATTACCTGTTGCATAACGTGATTTGGAAACGTAGCAATGGAAAGGCTCCTGGGCAACGAGGTGGGCTGTGCCTTTCCCTTGCCCTGCACCACAAAATGAAGTGTCCTTTGGCAAATGGAACCTCTCAGAGCCCTGTCACGGGTGCAGGAGTGCTGGTGTGTGACTGCTCCCCGTTGGAGGGCCCTGCGTGGTGTGGCATCCACGACTGACCTATTTGCTGGCAGTTTTAGCAGCTGGCTGGGATTAGTTCAGCCAGCTGATACCCAATTCCGTGTGATGATGGTGTGACTTTAAGCATGGGTTGGATGATTGGATGATGAGGAGCATTTTGGAGTCTGGCCTTGCAAATGCAGCTTGTTAATTGAAGCTCTTCTGCTCGCTGTCAGAGCTGCCTTTTTAAGCTGGGCTGTCTGTCCTCCTGACGCTGTTCCAGCCTCCCTGCCTGCAGTCTGCAGCTCCTCTGCCAAGGACAGGCTGCTGTTGTGCACATTTGTCACCTCTGGCCACTCCTCTGGCTCTGAGGGGCTCTTTCCCTGTCACACCGAGAGTTTTCCTAATTGGAAGTGAGCACTGGAGGGGCCGCTCTCATTGTGGGGTGTCACGAGCGAGCTCTTCGCCCGAGCGTGTTTCAGGCAGCTGCAGGAGGTTCAACAGCCCTGTCTGTCATGATCAGACAGATCTCTGCATAATCTAGCAAACCTCTTGATTATGAGGGTGGAAGATAATGTGCTTTGATTTACAGATGTTGCAGCACAAAAAGTGCTCAGTGAATTCTCTGCCTGGCGATATCTGGGATGCGTTTGGCATCCTCAGTTTCTGAGTGCACCCATTTTATGAACGTACCCTGAACTTCTGCAGACTTCTCTGGACACTGCTCTTTCACTGACAAGCAGATTATTAATTACCCTTCAGTAGCATTTTAAGCCAAGTTGAGGGATTAAAGTGGGCCAAGAGTCCTTGAAGTTTATGGTAAAAAAGACAAAGGGGGATAGAGGCTGTTGCGTTCTGGCTGATTTTACAGGCAGGGTGGAAAAGGGAAGGGAACGACGCACGATTTTAATTAAATCCTCTAAACACCTTTTCCTTCTGTCCTTTAGGAAGCTGTAGTGAGTTCTGAGACCATTTTGCAGTGCCTGTACCTTGTGAGCAGTGGGAGGGGGAAGCTGCAGCAGACACAGACCTCACCTGTGGTGGCTCAGACGTGCAGGTTCAGTGAGGGAGCAGCGGGAGCTTTGCAGGTGCTTGTGAAGGGGTTTTGAAGTGTTTCCTCCTTTTGGGGCACATAAACTCTCTTGGTTACAGCCCGGCAGATCTGCAGATTAGGAAAGGCTTTCACAATCCCTCGAAGCTGTGGTGCTCTGGAGGGAGTTCCTGTGGTCTCCCTCCTGGCTGTGTGGCAGACCAGTTAGGGAAGTGCTGAGATTGAATCTGAGCTCGGTTCTTGTTTGTGGGATTTGTTCTTTCAGCGGCACAGGGAAGAGGAGACGTGATGGGAGAATAGAAATAGACTTGTTTTGGTCTGAAGAACTAATGGATTTATGGTGGTGGCTTCTTTTCTGTTTAAGGGAAGGGCAGCATTTAGAGCAGGATACATTTACGTTGGGACTTATTTCTACAAACCTAATTGTCTGCGAAGTTCTTTCATTCTTTTTTCTTTCTCTGCTTTATAGTCAGCAGTGAAAACCAACCATTTCTGCAGCACAGAAATCACCTTGTCCTAAGCAGACATCCTGAACCAATCCAGTTTTCTGTGCTCCAGCAGTGCCTGCTGCTTTTGCTGGCTGCAGAGAGTCACAGCAGCCAGGTCAGGTGTGAGGGGAATCACATTTCTCAGTGGAAATTGGCCTATCCAAGGCCAAACCTTGGGTGCTGGGTGCTTTTGGAGACTGTACCAGCTCCCTGTAGTTGCAGCTTCCTCTTTCTTGGAAGGAGGAAGAGCTGATGTGGGCACTGGGTCTGATTATATCCCAAGGTGGCCGGTCTGAGGTTTGAAGGGTGAGAGTCATTGTGTGATAGTCCGAGTATCAGTGAAGAAACTCTAAGGGTTTTGTTTCACTCCTGACCCTGGGAGTTCCTGGCCTGTTTGTCAGCTGGGATCCATCCACAAGGGAAAGCTCCAGCCAGACAGGATGATATCCTGGTGTCAGTTTGGAGGAGTTTCACTGCACAGCAAAGGAGAAGGTGCAAAGAGTCTTTTCCCACTGATTTTGGTATCTCTGATCAGACGTGTTCTGGTGGAGGAAATCACACTGAAAACGACCACGGAGCTTTGAGTTTTAACTCCCAAACTCGAGCCTGGATCATACAAAGCAAACCCTCCGAGCCTGTGAAGGGGGTTTTGTGGAGGAGTAAAGCTCATTGTCAGCTGCCGTGTTCAGACCCTTGGGAAATTGTGACCATTGTCTGGGCTATTATCGCTTAATAAAAGCTTTGCATTTCCTCATTCAGGGTCTTGAGAATCTGGTTCTGTGCTTTTAAAAATAACTCAGCGTGAGCCACAATTGGGAGCATTCACAGAGGAAATTCTTCAGCCGTTTAAAACAAAGTGAAGGGAGGGGAAAAAAAGCTCTCCTTGAAGTGCTTTTACTTGTCCGTGAAGAGCGAGCGTGTCCCGGCCTTGCTTTCTGGAGGGACCACGGTGAGGTTGGAGCCCGGTCCTGCTCCTGCTGAAGGTTTGTTTGCTTCCAGCCTTCCAGGATTTTGGGACCAGCGCTATCCCAGCTGGGGGATCTGGGCTGGATGCATCCTCTTGGGATGGAGGGATGGTGTACCTCTCGTGGATGAGCAGCTCTGGGCAGGTGGGACCAGCAGTCACCGGTGGGGTTGAAGAGTTTTGTTGTCAATGCAAAAGGCAGGGAAATGTTTTTCTTTTGTCTTCTTGTGCCAGAGTCTCACCAGGAAGGGTCACTTTAGGCAAATGGAAACGTGGCCACTCGCTGAAGGATGTGCAGGATTTAGGGCACCCACTCTGCAGGCTCTGGGAAAACATCCCAAAGCTGTGCTGGGATGGGGAAGGGGACAGAGGAGGGGGTGCTCTGGGCTCTGAGGTGTTCATCACCCTCAGCTTGGCTTATCTGGAGGGGTTTTCTTATGCCGGGAGGTTTGTAGCCCAGCACAGAAGCCCTGAACTATTTTACAAATCAGCTTTGGAGGTTTGTTTCTTTCCCTTTGTGTGTTCTTGGGTTTATTTTCCTTCTCCAGCGGAAATAATTACATTGCTTGTTTCCCATGTTCTGGCTCTCGGTGAGGAGGAATGTACTCGGTTTTTTTTGTGTTGTGGTGGTGTTTTGTTTTGGTTTTGTGTGTTTTCTTTTCCCCAGTGCAGTTTGTGCTGTTAAAATATCCCGGACAGCAGTAGCTGCCCACGTACAGCACAGAAAACGTGTGTTTAGTGGTTGCAGGACATGCTTGCTCTGGGTGTGCCACCTGTTTCATTCAGTGCCTGTGTGATTGGCCATCATTTATGGTTCCATCGGGCCCAGGAGATACCATTTACATTAGTAATTTGTGCTCTGTGTGGGCCGGAGTTACCTACGTTGCCTCTTGATTTTTGAAATAAGTTTTGTCTTGGAGCAGCCTCGTTCTGGCAGGATAGAGGAGGGGATGGAGTGGTGTAGAAGACACTTGGTAGTGAGGAGGCTGATGGTTGGGATATTATCTTGGTTTTAGTTGTGATAGGACATGAATTTAGGCAGAATATTCCTCTTCCATGCCTCCCTTTCTCCACTGGAAAATCAAACCAGCATTAGGAGCGAGCAGGAATGACTCTCCTATCTCTTTGTGTCCCCATCTGTGATATGCACAGTCTGGGGACAAGACACAGCCCTGCAGTAGCTAAATTCTGTCACACCTTTGCGTGGTTTGGTATTGCTTGAAATTTTATAGGTCATGTGCCCCATTAAAATGATTTCCATGCCTGTGTTTGGAGGATCTGCTGTGCCCGTTTTCCTTTATATCCCTGTGACTGATCCAGGGCCATATGTTAACAATATAACTGCTTTTAATTTATTTTTTTTTTCCTAAAAAACCCCTTGGTGTCTAAATATATCTAATAAAAATGCAGACTGGAGCTCTTTAATGAGGCGTAAGTCATCCCTGCCTCTCTCTTTTTCTTTTTTTTATGAGACAAAACCACCTCACACACCACACTGGCTGCTTTTTGTGGGGACTTCTGCTTTGCATTTCTACACATCCATCATCGAGTGAAGCCTCTCACAAAGGGAAATAAGAAAAGGCAGTTTAAGAGAGCGATTTGCTGTGCTTAAACCTGAACCCTTGCAAAGGGAAAAGCCGGTGCAGGGGAATCGAGGGCCGTGTGTGAGGATGCAAAGTGTTTTGGGGAGGGGAAAACATAAAATTCGTAGGGGCAAGTAAGTTCAGCGTGGTCGTGAATTGTGCAGGGGAGAACAGGAGACAGGGAGCAGTTTGCAAAGGGAAAACTGTCCTTCGTTTTGCAAAATTCAAAGTGATCCTTGAAAGTTTTTTTTTTTTTGGCCACCCAAAGGTAAAATATTTTTTGTTGGCACCCCTTGCTTGGCCAAGCCCAGGGGTCGAGGTTGGGCACTGGTGCACGGATGCACCCTCTGTGATTTTTGGGTGTTTTGGGGGGAAATGTCTTTGCTGCAGGAACAGCTCCGGTTTGCAGGTGCCTTGTGGGGCAGATGTGGCTGTGGTTTGACAGCTGAGGTCGGAGCAGGGTTGTGAAATCCGGCTCCTCTCGCACGTGGTGGCCGGGTGTGAAATCCCGGCAGGCTCCCGCTGGAGTCCTCATCCCAGAGCTGCCACAACGCTCCTTCTGGCTGCTCCTGCCGGGACAGCTGCTTGTGGGACTGAGCTGGGAAACCTCTGCATCAGAAAAGAAAAAAAAAAAGAGAGAAGTTGTGCTTGTTTTGGAAGGGCCTTTCCCACTGCTCATGGGTTGATCCTGTGGCTGGTGTGGTGACAAGCCCAGTCTGCTTTTGCTAGAGAGGACACCAGGACTTGCCTCACCAGGCTTTGAGAAGGAGGAGAAAGGAGCCTTAGTAATTCCAAACTGTGATCAAGGGCTGCAAACCAGTGTTTTGTGTGTAAAACAATAGATCTGTGAGCAATTGCTTAACGATGAAGTAAGACAGAACAGATGACAAAGAAGTGGAAGAGTTTCTGAGAGGGAAGGTAGTCAGGGCTGTGCTTTTTAATTAAATGGCCTCTTTTCACGGGCAGTCAAACTTTCAGACTTAGCAGGGCCTTGCATAACAGGAGGTGCTTTATTTACAGGCTGCACATTCCCTCGTGGACACAGGGGCACAAGGATAAATTATTTAATTATAGATAGCCAAAGGAGTGAGCCAGGCTCCTGCTGGGCCCTGTTGTCCCTGTGGTTTCCCAGCTTTGCATGTTCCTTCTCTGGCCAATTCCCAAAATCCAGCCGTTTACCCGAGTGGTCTCTTGGTTAATAGTGTTAATTAGCGAGGTTCTGCTCTATGAATATTCCTGTAGCCTTCCAAACACACCGAGTGCTCAGCTCCTCACCCGTGTAACGAGCTTGTACACAGCTCTGGTGGTAATTAGCTGCATCCCTCCAAGGACATGTGGCCCTCTTGGGAACGGGAGTTTCGTGGTAGTTACAGCAAGTCCCCGCCGAGACTCACTCACAGACTTGTGCCAGGGTCGGGTTTTCAGCTTTTTTGCCCTCTGTTTTCATCGTTAGTTTCTCCTCTGTGCATTCTACGTGCTGAGCAGCGTGGTTGTAATATCAGTTCTTTTCAGATTTGCCATTAGTAACTTGTTTGAACCAGTGCTGGCAAAGTCCTGACTGGGTTTGTGCTCCAGGTGGGGGTCAGATTTAAGCGTTCTTCAAAAAGCTTTTATGCTGCAGGAACGGTGCTCCTTGTGCTGGCAACAGTTTTGTATCTCTGCCTCCTGATAACCAGCACCTCCTTCCCCCAACAATTATGTTCAAGGAAGAAATTTCCCCCTAAAAATGTGGAAGTGCTGTTTGTTCTGCCAAATCCAACTGGGGCTTTAACCTATCTCTGATTTAATGTCCTTGCTGATGCGATGCTCCTGTTGTGGGTGAATCAGAGAATGGTTTGGATTGGAGGGGACGGGAAAAATCATCCAGTTCCACGCCCTGCCATGGGTAGGAGCACCTCCCACTATCCCACGTTGCTCCAAGCCTTGTCCAGCCTGGCCTTGGACACTTCCAGGGATGGAGCAGCCACAGCTTCTCTGAGCAACCTGTGCCAGTTTGAAACATCTCTGAGAGGTGATTCTCTCTCTAGCTTGGTAGAAGAATGTTCTCTCTCCTCACCTTTTTAACACCCAGGGCAATAGAAGGGGAAGAAGGTGGTTCCCTCTTGCTGTACAAGTAAATAATTTGCCCATAAATGGGAACCAAATGATATTTTAATTTTTCTGCGTGTTCAGGATGGAACAGCGGTGTGAGATCAGCAGGTTTTTCCAGAAGAGGAGGGTTGTTCTCCAATATCTCTGCTTTGTCCCTGGTTTTATGTGTTCAGTACCATCCAGAAAACTCTTGGTTTGATTGTAATTTGCATTTAGATTGGCCGCCTGAAGGGAGTCGCTTGCGAGGGGAGATGGGGCTCTGTGGCTTCAGTCTCTTGCAGATCTGGCAGAAAGTAATGGCATTTACATAAAAACCATTAGCTCTGTTATTGATAAACATGAAAGGCATCCATTTCATTTAATTTTCTGATGAGGAGCCTTTAATATAAGCACACAATAGCACTGAGGTAGTAACATTCCTGCTCCCCATCCCTCCGAGCTGACCTCTTGTTTTAAGGGCAACTTTTGATTGGGATTTTGTTGGTGGGGAGATGGGAAATCATTTCTGTTCCAATTTCCTGAAGTAGCCAGTTGTCTGGCTACATTGTAGGGAATTATTTAATGCTCATTTTAAGAGGTATCTCTATTAATTGAAGGGGATTTAATGTCTCCCCAAGCACAATTGCTCCGTGTGTGATGTACAACCACCACGTACGTCTGGCAGTTCTAGGGATAATCTTTTCCTTAATCAAAAGGGGTTTAAGCACAACTTCAGTGGCTCCTTATTAAGGGGATAAAGTGTGTTGAAACAACAAATCTGTTCAAGGGAACTTGTCTGGTGCCTGGCAGATCACAGCCCACGTAACCCTCGAGCACCGAGTCTGCACCAGCGTTTGTGCAGCACTGCACTGGTGACCAGAACGTGCCACCAGGAGCTGTGATTCACTGCCTCTGTAGTAACTGGCTTTGTGGAGCACTTGCTGCTGCTCCCACATATAAATATCTGCCTTTTCTCCTGGGCTGGGTCGGGTCTGACCTCGGGAGCCTCCAGAGGCAGCGGTGCCACAGTTGTTTTTAAGCATCACAGCATTTGCTGGAGAGACCTCGCTGTGAGCTCTGCAAGCTCTTGCAGTTCTTGACCTCAGAGCTGAGGGGGTGTGTGTTTCTCTCTGTTTTGCGTTCCTTACCTGGCCTACTTCTTGATTTTTACTTTTTTCCTCCATAAATTTTAAAAATGTTTCAGAGTATTTTTGTTGCTTTGTCCGTATTTACAACTCTTTTTCCTCTCTAACAGGCTCCAGACAGATGAGTAGGGAGCTGGCCACAGAAGAGGAACACATTCCAATTTTCCAGCTGATCACCCTGTACAGTGAGTACCTTCATATTTCAAGAATAAAACTTTCTGCAGTGCCTGATGTTGGTCTAAAACTGCCTCCATAGGGGCACAGCGTTAACTCTGCCTGCCTGGACAGCGTTGTCCTAGAAATACTGGTGTCCTTGGCTTAGCCCTTGTGTTGGGAGAAGTGTTGCTCCAGCTCCTTTTGTCTGAGGTGGTAAATTGTATCCATATCCCACTTCCAGAGTGGTGAAGTTGTGTCTTGTATGTGCTCAGGGCTGTGAGGAATCCACGCTAAGGGTGTTCCTGTGCTGCAGGAGCAGGAGTGGAGATGGTCTCCAGGGCCATTCCAGCCTCGTTGGAGGTGTGGGATGAGTGAGGAGGCTGGATGAAGGGATTACTCATAAAGGCTGCTGTGAAATCAGGCAAACGAGGCTTGGCCTGACTGGTGGGCGGCAAAAAAAGCGCTGGAAAGTGTCTCCTAGCTCGTGGTGAGGATGGCAGGTTTTCCCTGGAAGTGGAGGAGAAAATCAGTGTTTCACGGGGGATTTTTGCACATTAAAATGTCTCCCATGCCTGTTAATGGGCTGTAGTAACGAGCCCGTGCTTTATGAGGTGTCTGCAAACATATTAGGATGTGCTGCTGTGAGGGACTCCAGGTTGTAAATGCTGGATAAGCGGAACATCTTGGCCCGTCTGGTGCCAGCCTGGAAGGGTTGATTGCCTTGTGGGTGTCTGCAAGCCAGGAGGACGCTCTGCTGCTGGGTGGAAAATGCAGGGGAGCGTGGGAGCTGCACCCACCGACTGAGACCACGGCACAGTTCAGTTCATTGTGGCAGCCCTGGCAGGTGATTCCCTAAGGATACCATGGGATGATGAATTTTGACCTGAGAGTCAAGGATGGAGTAATACACTCTGAGACTCTGGCTTGTGTCTTCAGGTTGATGTGGATATATCCAGGGAGAAGGGCAGAGAATTCCTGTGCTTCTGGGAAAGAAGGGGAGAGAGAGAGTGTGTGGTTTGTGGCTTCCTCACTGCTCCTACATCCGCCCAGTGCATCGTGATGTGCCCTTGGTTCAGGTGTGTTACATACTGATGTAGCTTGTCGTGCTTCTGGGTTCAGGACAGTCTGTCTTCCCTAATTTTGTGCCAAGCACAGCAGCAGGGACTCTCCTCAGCTCCCGTGAAAACTCCAGGGTGAATAATAACCCTGGAAGTAGCAGAGAGAGGTCACCTGAAGGACAAGCAGCGCTGTTATTGACCAGCTGTGCCACCGCTCCGTGGTCCTCATCGACAGCTCTAATCCCAGGGTGCGCTCCCAGGCAGATCTGCTGACTCCAGGAGCTGCAACATCGATACCATTGAATTCTCCTTCCCTCTGCATATCTCACGGAGGAGGTGGGGAGATTGCAGCCTGACAGCTGTGCAGTCTGCACAGGGCCACGAGGCTGCCCAGGCTTCCCCCAGGGCATAATTTGGGCTGCACGACGTTTGTTAACGCTGGTTTGTTAACGCCGGTGTCGTGCGTGGCAGGCTCGGCATTGACCTTCAGGAGCTGCTTGTGGGCCCTGTGGCTGGGGGAAGGAGTGTAGGAGACAGGGATTTGGGGCTTGTTGGGAGTCCTTTTTAGGGTGGAGGACAGTGATTAAAAGCAGGAAGGCTGCATGTGTGAATTTAGGTCAGTGGGAGATAGCTGAGCAAAGGGCTGTTCTTGGCAGGGAGCTGGAACAGAGGAGATGCTGCAAAAACAGCCTGTAGTTGCCGTGGAACAGAGTGGGAAAACAGCCTGTTTCAAGGGAGTCCTTAACAAGGCATTTCTCTGCAAGACTCCGTGGCTCTGAATAACCAGGCTGGCACAGGAATCTAAAAATATTTTCAGGAGACTCCTCTTCAAACGTGACCTGAGGCTTCCTGGCTCGGCAGCAAAGCCAAGAGCTGCGGGAGGTTTTGTCACAGGCCCCTTCCTCTGAGGATGTGGCATCATCCCTGTGAACATGAGCGTGGCTCTGGTGCTTCCTGTGCACCACGTGGCCTCGTGTGGTCTGTCTGCTCACAGCTGCAGCTGAGAAGGACAAGGGAGAGCAGTTAATTGGGCAGGGAGGATTGGTGCTGCCTGTTCCTCCTGCCTGCGCTTCTCCCGGGAGCTCTGGGCAGCGAAGGGGTGGAATTCCTGCCTCTTGGATGCAGGGCACTGGGGGAGTGGAATTCCTGCTTTCTTGCTGCTGTTCTTCTCAGAAGATGCTGTAGATTCTTGTCAGCTTCTTTAACACCTCAGAACATGGGAGGCCACAGGTCTGTCCTGTCTCCAGCCGTGGCAGGTAGGAATGTCCTTCATCTCACATCCATTTATGTATCTCAGGGGTGTTTTCAGGTTCTGTCCTGTCACCAGGCATTTCAGAGTTGATGAACCACTTCCTTCTGGTGACTGCACCGACTGCCAGCTCGTTTAACTGCCGTGAGCTCCTGCTTGGGGAATTGCTGTTTGCATGTTTGCCGGTAAAGTTCTGTCAATCCCTCCCATGGCCCCTGTCAGAGGCCTCTTTTCCAGGCTGAAATGTTCTGATTGATTCACTGGTCCCTACAGAGTCTTTGACCTCCATGACCTTTGGTCCTCCGTGTCTTTGACCATCTGCACTATTATTTTGTCCTCCTGGTGGGTAATTTTTGGTTATGGTGCACATCTCTTTTTTCTCCTCCTGAATGTCTTTACTAGAAGCTTGACAGAACCTGAGGACCTGTCCTTTTTCCTGCAGTTCTCTCTATGTACAACCCTGGAAAAAAACCTGGAATTTTGATGCTGCCCATCATAAGCCATAGACTTGTTTTCTAAAAAGCAGAAGTTTATGTGCCTAATCTAAGAACTCTCTCAGAAAAGCAGTGCCCTGAATCACTAGAACAAGGCAGTGTTCAACAAAGAGCCCTGGCAGAGGTTGTGTGAAGTGTCAGCCAGGATATGGGATGTCTCTTTGGATCCTGCAGCAGTTTTGGGTAACTAAATGGCTGCTGGTGTCTGCTGCATCTTCTGAAGGGGGACAGGAAACACTCTGGGTGTTAAACCTGCTTGGTTAAGAAATGATACCAAAGGAGAGAATTGGATATTAAGCTTATTTAGATAAATATAAATCACTGTCATCAAACAGGTTCTGCAGGGGCAAGGCCTGGCCCTCCATCCCCTCTGCTTTGCATGAGTGATATTTGTTTTATCAGTGCTGTGGCTTCCCAAAAGCAGAAGTGGAATGTGAGGTGAGGTAACTCCCAGGGCTGCAGCCTCAGCTGCAGGGAAGCTCTGCAGCCTGACCTGCCCAGGGCTGGGACGGGGCTGTGGTTTTCTCCAGCTGCCCTGACTCACATCTGTGGCTTTTGTGCTGCCCTGAGGTGAGTCAGGGCTCCCACGGGGCTGATTAAAGCCCTGCCCTGTGGGCAGCCTGGGAAACCTGGGCCTCCCTTCAGCTGAATCAGAGCTCCAAGGATCATCCCGAGCCGTTTTCCCGAGTGTTGAGGCTTTATCTTCCACGCCCTTCAAGCTCTGCTGCTCTTTCTGCCACTGTGCTTTTCCTCTTTCCTCTCTGCTGCCTTCCCCAGCGCTTCCTTCCTGCCTTTAAAAGCAGAGAACCCCCAGAGCCACCCAGACCTGTCTGGGCTTTGTTGGTGGCTTCTGTTCTGCACAGAGGAGCCAAAGGACCAAATCCTGGAGTCAGTTTTGTCCCCGGTGTGTGTCAACAAACACATCATCATCTCACTGCACAGATTGGTCCAGACACTGGTAATAAAACACCAGCTCCCTGAAGCCTCTCCTGGCCTGCCAGGATGTGTCACCCTGCTCACACAGTCCTGAATCCAAGCACTCTGGAGTCCTCCCGGACAGGGAACATGAGGAGGAGGAGAGAGGGAGAGAAATACGTCCAGAAATTACGGGTTGATTTCAAATCTGTCACTGCTCAGGGTGTCTCAGCCCCTGCTTGTTGGTGGAAGACTGGAGGCTTTTTATTCTTTCCTTGCCTTCATATATAGAAATATATATATATATATTTATGGTTCTTTCTCATTCTTCTCTTTACATTTATGGGAAGTTGCACAGAGCCAGCTCGCCAGCCCACAGACATCCCACTATAACAATTTAGCAAGATAGTAAATTAAGAGTAATTTTTAATCTGGTTGGGAGGAGAACAGCCAAATTGGCTGTTTCTCCTTGTTGGTCTCAGCATTATTTTTGGCCTGGCAATCCTTGGAGGGTGTAAATGCACCAGACATGGATCTCTCTGCAGGAGGGCTCAGCTCTTCCTGGACAGCAGAGGAACACTGCAGCTCTTTATTTATATTTTACTTTTTTTTTTTTTTTCAGTACACTGGGGTGAATAATACATAAAGTGTGGAAAGGGCTTGTAAAATGCTGAGCTGTGTGTTGGAATTCTGCTCTGCCCAGGAAAATCTCTCGCCATGAGAGTCTCCCTGTAGGGAGAGCTTGGGGAGAGGGAAGGTTTGGAGACCCCGCCGGGATCCCTACTGGGATCCAACCACACCAGGGAAATGCTGTGCTATAAACAGGGAACTGGGAGAATCCAGCCCTTGCTGGGGACTTTTCCAGTTAATGCAGCCATTGACAGTGGGGCTGGAGGCTGTGTGGGACAATGCTGTGGTGGAGGAGCTGGAACAGGGAGCCTTTGTGGCACCATCACAAAGCCACCAGTATGTGCTTGGAGGGCTCCTGCTCGCTGAGCCTGTAATATCAGCCCAGGTCCTGTTCTCCTCCCCTCCCTGCCAGGAACTGGTTTGTATTTGGGGAAAATAAGTCACTGTTTGTGGGTGTTTATTTCTTTTCTGCTCACAGCTCTTCTTGGATCACGTGGGGGATTAAAGAGCTCAAGGGAGAAGAAAACCTCGAGGTGGCCTGTGGGATCCCCAGAGTGTTAGGGCAGGGCTGCAACCTTCACCCCTCCTCCTGCTCTCCACAGCTCCCTGGCAGGAGGCTGTGGGGAGGTGAGGTCAGTCCTTCTGCCAGGGAACAAGAGACAGGACAAGAGGAAACGGCCTCA